TAATGATGATAATAATAATGATGATAATAATGTATTAAATTTGCATTGCCAAACGTTTAAAAATGAATTTTTTTTTGTTTTGCTTATTGTTAGATTATTATTATTATTAATATTCAAATCAAACTTTTCTTTATTTATTTATTTATTTAATTACTTATTTAAAACAAATTATAATAATTTATTAAAATTTAAGGAAAAAAATTAAACAAATAAAGATAAAATTAAAAAATTTTTAAGTTTTTTTACTTCATTTTAAAGAAAAAAATGTAGTTAATAATAATAATGGGTAAAAAATTAATTTTTCTTTTTTTATTTAGTTTTAACAATAATAATAATAATGATAATTAATTGTTCATTCATATAATTAATATTCATGTAAAACTATCGAAATCATAAAATTTTATTAAAAAAACTAATTGAAAAGTTAATTAATAATATAAAAAAAAAAGAATTAAATTTTAAATTTTACCTGTTTGGCCATGACTTTTTGTCTTTCAGCAATCAAAATACATCTCTGACAGGTACAATCCTTATACCTGCATTCTCTTTTATGTCCTTTTAACCACGATATGACTCCATGATTTCTACATCTGGCACATTTAGGCTTTCGCATTCCACTTTCTGATTTTGTCCATTGCGTATAAACTTGAGAGCTTTCAAAATTCGAATCTTTCATTTTATTATTATTATTATTATTATTATTATATTTAATTGATTATATTATAATCCTCACGAATTAACGATTAAAACTCTAAAACTTTAATATTATGATAAAAAAATTTTGACTGATACAATATCGAGAGAAAAAAAAAACAAAAAAAAAGAACTCAATGAATTGAAACTAAAAAAATTTTTTTCATCTCTTCTTCTTCTCTTCTTCTTCTTCTTACCATTATTTAAAAATTTAATAACAAAAATACAAAAGAAACAACCATCGGTTAAACATAAGGGGAAAGAAAGGAAGAAAGAGAAAAAAAAATTTAAAAGAAGCTTTTTTTTTTTTTTTTTTGTTCATTCTAAAGCTTCTTCTTATTCGTTGGTCACTCCTTCGAAAGCTTTTCTTTTATCGTATTGGATCCCTTTGAATTTTCCCTCCCATCACATTTCTCTGTATCAACAACGAATTTGATATCTTTAGAGTTCCCACCATCATCATCATCATTATTATTATTATTATTATTACACAATTCGATACTTTATATATACGTATAAGTATGTATTGTATATATATATATAATGAAAAAAAAATTTTTTGGATTAAGTAACCATTTAATAAAAATGTTTACACATAAATTTGTAATGATGAGATAATTTTATTTAATTATTATTATTATTATTATTTTTGTCATATTGTAGATATTTTAAATGTAGATGTGGGGGGCAATAAAATTTTCTTTTTTTTTTTTTTTTTACTTTCCTCGGATTTATATTTAATAATAATAATAATAATATTTGTGAGGAATCAAATTGTGTTCATTAAGTTTGATAAGAGATGGTCTGTTTTTAACGGTCTCCCCAAAAACGGTTTTAATAATAATAATAATCAGTAATAATAATAATAATAATCACTTTTTACTTTATTAGTTATTTAAAAAAAATTTTTTTTTTTGTTACCTTACTTCCCCCCAAATCCGGATAACCTAATTCCACCCCCCAAAAAAGATGTTGTATTTATTTTTTTTTTTGGGGGGGGGGGATTAAGATTAAGATTATTTTAATCTTTTTATTTTAGTTAACGCGTTTTTTTTTAAAATTTAAATGCGGATTTAACGAGAGAGAATTTTTTTTAAGTCACGCGGGATTTAAAAAAAAAAACAAAACCGATTTTAAAATTTATTATTATTATTATTATTTATTTTTTTGATTTTGAGATTTTCCGATTTCGATTTAATTATTTATTTATTTATTACAATTATTTATTATTTATAATAATGTAATATATTAAAAAAAAAAAAAAAACTTTATACTATATAATAAACTACTTTATTTTATTTATTTGACATAAATAAATTTTTATGTATATTAAAAACAATTAATTAATGTTGCCCATTTAATATAAAAAAATGATTTAAAGTTTTTATTAAAAAAAAAAAAAAAAAAAAAAAAAAAATTATATAATTAATTGAAATTTAATTTTAATTTAATTTAATCATTAAATCAATTATTAATCATTTAATATGTTAAGAATTTCTGTAAAATCATCTTCGCCGAGTATTTCAGAACCCCCGCCTCCATTTTCCACACTTTTTTGACTTTCCCCTTTTTCCGATTCCTGTGTACTCCTGTTAAAATCGTCAAAATTTTTTACGCTTTCCTTTATTTTTTCTACTACTTCTTTTTGACTTTCCCTATCGTCCATTTTCTTTGTTTCATTTTTTAAATTTTTTCCCTCAATTTGTTCCCCATGAGATCCCTTTAATTTTTTCGGCGAATCCCCTTTTCCTTTCTTTGGTGTGGTGGTAGTAGTAGTAGTAGTAGTAGTAGTACGGGCATCTTTTTCTTCTTCCACGACCGTATCAGCACTAGCCTCTTTTTTTTTTTTTTTTTCATTTTCTTCCACCTCATGATTTAAATCAATCGATGACATTTTTATCGGACTTTTGAGTTTTTCTTTATTTTTATCCGAGTTCTCGGATTCATTTGATTTTTTTCCACATTTTACGGGTGTACTATTTGCACTGCATATTTTCAATTTCGGTTCGTCTTCGTCGCAAATCAGTGACGTATCTACGATATCGTTGGTTTCACCTTTGACCTCGCTCTCATTTTCGTGTAAGATAAAAACGTTACCCGTGTTTTTTATGTTTTCGTCGACGATACCGTAATTAACGGGTGGCGAATCGGAAGTCGTTTCTTTGGTACTCACTAACGAGTTAATATCGTAGGTACCCGCGTCGAAAACATCTTTTAAATCTATACTTTTCTCTTTTAACATTTTCACTTGATTTGCGAGAAAATTAAGAAATTTTAATATGAAATCGTGATTCGGACTTTCCAAACATGGTTTTTCCCTTCCTTCTTCTTCTTCTTTTGTTTCTAAATTATATATAGACATTATTTTAAAAAATTTGAATAATTTTCCATTTTATATATAAATGAAAACTTACCTTTGCTCGTGATAGATTTTTCAATTGTTTCAACAGAATTACTGAATCCTATAAGTAGCGAAGCCAAAGATGATATATACCATTTAATTTTTTTACATTGTTTTATCATTTTTTCTTCCGTGTTAAACAAAGTTTTTTCCTGAAGTTTTATTAATTTTCTCTTACTCCAATTCGCGCCCAAATCCATTTGATATTCCGTAAGTTTAACTAAATTTTCTAATTTTTCTATATATTCAAATTTTTTTAAATCAAATGATAATTCCTCTTCCGTTCCACCAGTATCTCCATCGTCGTGCACACTATTAGATTTATCTAACTTTAATTTTTTTTTTCCCACAGGACTTAAATTATCTAATGAAACGTCTGCATTGGATGTATTATTATCCTCTTCTTCTTCTTCTTCTTTTTTTTCATCATCATCAATATATTTTCGCTTTAACTTTTTTCTTTTAACCGGTTTCAGGTCTAAATTTTCTGAAAATACATATTTATTTTATTTACTATATTATATTTATATTTATATATTTATTCTAATTACCTGATGAATTTTTTTTTTCTTTATGATTGTTGATTTCTTCTTCTTCTTCTTCTACTTCTATTTCATTGCTTTGGTTGCACTCTTGTTTTTTTTTGTTTTTAACCTCTTTTACTATTGAACTATCTAAAAATATGTAAAAGTATATAATAACCTTGTATTTAATTATATTAATATTAACACAAAAAATTTTAGGTAACAAGATTTAATAAATGTTAAAGTAGTAAATTATCACAATTTAATAAATTCAAATTTTCAATTACCAGATAAATTTCTATCGTCTGTAGCCATTTTTCTTTTTTTCTTTCGTTTTTCACTATCATCCGAATCGATTGTGATATCAACGTCATAAGTCCCTGTTAAATTTAATATTATTTTTAATAATAAAAAATAAACATAATTTTTAATATTCTACCATTAGATATAATATGCAATATCATGCAATGCGAGAGAAAAAAAAAAAACTAAGATTAAAAGATAAAATTTTTTTTTATAATAATAATAATAAGAAGTTGTTCAAGTTAGAATAAGGAACAGGTTGCTTTGAATTTTAAAATATATTTTCTTACCGGATTTTTTTTTCCTCTTTTTAATATCTTTTTTAGATTTTGAAATATTTTCTCGATTTTCTTCCTCCTTCTTTTTTTTTTTTTTTTTCAATAATTCGCATTTCTTTTTTGCCAATGTAGAAATAAGTCTTAATTTCCATAAGGGTTTAGGGTTGCAAAAATAACACAACCATTCATCTTCTTTTTTAATTTCCTTAAGACTAGCTTTTCCAAAATGTTTTTTAATGCACACATTACAAAATCCACAAATGCATTGAGAACAACTTAAAATAGTACCACCTTCACCGCACCAACGACAATATTTATCTTCATTTTCGCTATCCAAAGAAAAGTCATCATCTCCGTAGTATTCACAACACTCATCACACATTAAAACATCCATAAGTGGATGAAAATAAACTTTTTGGTTTTTGTTAATTAATTTTTTAAAATCATAACCACACTTTGTACATTTAAATTCTTTTGATAAAATATTTACTAATTCATCATCGTTTAATTTTTCTTTCCTATATTTCAATTCCTCTTCCGTTGGAATCATTTTTTTAAAAATTGTACTTCTGTCTTGAAATGTTTTCGATTTTGATTTATTATCTTTTAAACTTTGTATAGAATCAAGCGAATCATTGGAATTATTACTGTAATTAAAAAAAAAAAAATTTTTTTTTGTTTTGTTTACATGTTTTATTAAAACTTTAAATAAAATATCATACTTTATATTTAATTTTTCTTCTGATGAATCGTTACAGTCTTCTTTAGAGGAATCAGAATCAGTCCTTTGTTTATGTTTATGCCCCATTTTCTATGAAATAAACTGAAAAAAAAAATTGTTTATAAATTAATTTAATATTTCAAAAATATTCCTCAAATACCTCAAAAAAATTGAAATAATTTATTTCAAGTCAAAATTTTTTTCCATCGCTATTGTTTAATATTTAACATAAATAATGTGGTAAATGTAGAAAGGTTTCTATATGTCTCAGAAATAATAATCCTTACTGTATAAAAGTAAAAACAAGTTTTATTTTAATACCTTTAAATATTAATTCCTAAATAAACATTAAAATTAAATTAAAAGTATAAAAACAAATATAACAATGCCGCTATTTTGGAGTACTAGGCACACTGTTTACCTCTGTAAAAAAAAAAAAGGCGCTAAAATTTGTAAATAATCAATACTTATATTTTATTTCTTTTCCGATATAAATAAAAAATAATACTTAATTGTTTATGTAAAACTTTTTACTTTTATCATGAATCTAACAAACTTTTTTAAAATGAGAAAATTAGTAAATATTTAATACATAATACGCAAATGTGTGATTATAATTTATTATCGTACAAAACCATAGAGATAAAAAAAGCGGCAATTATTATTTCATTATTATTGAAAATAATTATACAAAATTATTGTAGAAGAATATGCCCTGTAGAGCATATGATTTAATTATAAAAATTTAATTCGAAATTAATAGTAATAAGTTTTTATTCGTAAATTAAAAAAAAAATTTTTTTTTACATCGATAAACTTTAATATACTTTATGTTGCACAGCCTTTTTAAAAGTAGGTACAAAAGTATAGTAATAATAATATCGTTGCGTTTATATGTAATCATTGTTCATTTATATATATAATGAGAAATTTTCGAGAAAATAGAATGTAAATGGTGTTAGTAATATGCCTAAAACTACTTTATTTTACCAAAATTTATCTTTAAGCAAAGGTATGTTGTTTACTATTTATAATAATCATTTATCAAATATTTTTTTTTTTTTTCTATTTAATTATTACTGTAATCGTTAACCTAACATATAAAACCCGGTGTAATGTTTGTATATGACTTATATGAGATCACCAAATATTTTTATTAGTATTGTGAAATTTTTATTTTATTTTATTTTTTTTTTGGTTTTTGCACACTGATTATGTAAGTTATTAAATATTCCAAAGATTACACAAAAAAATGTGACACATAATTATGAACAAAAAAATTTGTGAGTCAATGACTATAACAATGTCTAATACAGATAATTTGAATACCTAAAATTTAGGTTTAATTTATTTATTTTACTACTGTATGTTTTTTTTAATAGTGTTAAACTGTATTTAAAATGATAATCCATGATGAGTTTGTTATTTTCTTTCGAATGTTTGTTAATGATTACTACCTAGTAGCTCTTTTAGTTAGTTTTAAAATTCATTTCGTCACATCAGAAATTATCGAATGACTCTACTTATAAGTAAGGTGTGTTACTGATCCATAAAGTGTTTTGGTTATCGTATGAATATTCGAATATGAATTTAGTGTAATGTTTTTGAAATAATACTCGATGCATAAAAATTTTCCTTTTGCACCATTCAAAAAAAGAAAAACTGTCAAAACCAAACAATCAAAATTATTATTAGTAACCATGACTAAAATGCTGTGTAATGTTTTAAAATAATATCAATTTTACTATTTAGTTTTAAAATGCCAACTATGAAATATTGACCTTTACGATTTTTTTTTTTTAAAATAAAAATGTCAGCATTTGTTTTTTGTAAAAGTTCATTTTTCCTAAAAATATTTACATTTACATATTCATACATTTAAGGCATTTGTCCTCCTCTTATTATTTTATAAATATTAAAAAAAAAAAAAAAAAAGAAATATTTAAACATAATTTTTAACTTGCAAATTATGTGAAAGTTGTCTCGTGGAGAAAAAAAACTCGATGAATTTTTATGTGTAAATTTATTTTTATTTATTTATTTTTTTTTTTTTACATAAAAATTGCATGAAAAACTTCATGAGGAGGGAGGGAGGGAAGGGTAGAGGAGGGGTGGGGGGTGGTGGTGAAATAATAAATAAAGAAAAAAGTTATTAAAATAAAATAATTATTATTTTTATTTTTATTAAAAATGAAGGTCAATAAATAAATTCAGTTCATTATTATTATTATATAAGTACAGTTTAAAGTTATTAAATTACATTAAAGAGTTTTATTTATTATAATAAGTTTATTAGTAACATATCAGAGTTGATAATAATAATATTTTTTTTGCGTTGTTATTGTTCATCATAATTATAACAACAAAGTTTTTTTTTTTAAACATTTAACGGTACAATAATAATTTAATATGATGCCTGAAACATGTGTTGTGTGTGTGTATTAAATAAAACATTTTTTAACAAGGTTACCCTTGAAAAAAAAAAGAAAAGAGAAAAATCAAAAATCATTGTTTTAATAATGAGGGTGGAAATTAAAAAAAAAATGGATGGATCGATGTATCGAACGGTTTCTAGATTTTAAGTCATAAAAAAAAAATTTTTATTTTGAAAAAAAAAAAAAAAAAAAAAAGTCGGTAGTTAAGTTCTTCAGTTCAACAGTAGCCGTCATTGTTCATAGTCTTATTATATTTTACGTGCCTTTTATTTTAATTTTCTACGGTTTTCTATTATTATTATTATTATTATTATTATTATTATTATTAATTTTAATTTATTTTTAACGGTTTTTTGTTTTTTTTTGGACTCGTGTTAATTTTGGGTATTAATTAATTAATTTTAATTTTTGTTAAATAAGTTGGAAAATAAATTTTTTGTGTGTGTGTGTGCGTGCGTGCAATTTTCAACCGTCACGTAAGATTTAAATAAAAATTTATTTATTTATTTTTTTTTTTTATTTTTTTTTTTTAGAAAAAGGAAAAAATTTCGTTGATAATAACAAAACAACCATTTTGAAAATGATTTTCGTTAAAAAACGTTAAATACGATATTACAATAAAAAATTTTTTTTTTTTTTTTTAACAAAATAAATATTATGCATTTTTATTATTGTTTTCTATTATTATTATTATTATTATTATTATTATTGCTCAAGTT